GAATTGCCCTATTTCACTATGACGTCACATCAAAACAATCTATTGTTTAAACGCAAAGGATCATGGTCGTCGGAGGGGGTCAAAGCGCAAAATCACCAAAAATTGTTCTAAAACCCGTATCAATCCACGAAGAGAAGTAGAATAGCCAGCAAACACTCAGAATATTTTTTTATTTTTCTATGCTTCCATCCATGCTTCCATCCATGCTTCCATCCACTTCATCATTACTAACCAATATCGGAGGGATGTAAAAGAACCACTGAGGACTTAAAAAAATCCTGGCAGTGACCACCCTCAGTGCCTACATCTCATACTAACCATCTCTCATGATTGTTAATTGCATAAAAAGCAATCTGAAATTTGCAAGTCAATGCAAAGTGCCTTTATAGAAAGGGTGCTATATAAATCAGAAATAATCATTATTCTTGTTTAACTTTCTACCGTTAATTCTCATTCTTAGTATCTATCGGTCAGTTATTTGATTCTCAATCCAATGATTTATGATTTATTATACTGTCGCCCAGTTAGCTCAGTTGGTAAGAGCATCGGTCTGTTGTGTGTGATGTCATGGTTCAAGCCTCAGACGGACCAACACTCAGGGTCTTATAATAGAGAGTTTTAGATTGACTTTTTTTTCTCCCCGCAAAGGGCAAATGTGAGGACGTTTTCATAGTTTTCCTGTATTTTACTTTACCTTTTACAAACCTTCTCACCAAGCGCAAAATACTCTTTGGTTTTTCTACTACTTGGACTTTTTTGCGATTCTTTTTCAGTAATTTAAAAGAATATTTTACTGGCCAACTGACGTTTCACGTTTGCCTTGAACGTAAATCTAAAACTCTCTACTAACTAAGGAGATAATTACACATGTAAATAGTATGACCTTCAAGTCTCCTCGGACAAGGACTTAAAACCCTATATATAACCCTATAATTATAAGGCGTACGTAAAAGACCCTTCAGGAGAGGCTGGTGATGGCCATCTTCAGTGCCCAGATAACACTTCAGGGACCACAGTAATATTGGCTATGCTCTTGTGGCGTTCCTGCCCTCACAGGAAAAATAAAATAAATAGAATAGCTATGATATGATATGACCAATGACACTTTCCAATGAGTTATGAATGAGAGATGGTTAGTATGAGGTGTAAGCACTAAGGAAGGTTCTTTTACATCCCTCCGATGTTAGTTACTAAAGAAGAAGTGTAGAGAGATGGGACCACAAGTCTAACCATTTGCAGATGCAATAACAAAGGCAGCACTTTCTTCTCAATTATTTTAAGCTTTTGTCCGGCCGCCAAGGCTTGAACTCAAGGCCTGCCACGTACAACAGTTCGATGCTGATACAACTGACTCAACCAGGTTCTCTTTTTCTACCATTTATTTCTCATTCTTTGTCTCGCTTTTGATGGTGCAATTCATATTTTTAGAGTGAACTAACTAAACCTGTAAGATATATATTACAATAATAAACATTAGTGACCCTAATTCCATAAGTACACATTTTTGCCATTTGATTCTAAATTTTAATGTTTTTGTTTGTTTGAATGTCTTGGTTAAACAAAGATGCCAGCCAAATAAAGAATGGTGATGAGCGGAATTAATAATAAGTCCAAGCAATAGAACAACATTTTTTCACTTAAGTGTTTTGGGATTGCATGGGGGTGTTGGGGAAGAAGGTATACTTTAGTTTTGGTAGAGGTAACAAGCAGGAAAAAAATTGTTTTCCATGATTTGTATTTAAATGCTTCAAACTGGATGGACGGATGGATTGGATTGGATTGGATTGGATTGGAATTGGAAAACTTTATTTATATCCACAGTAATTATATCAAATAGTTACATAAATTATATAAAAACTGTTCTACCTATAAGCCGTGCATTACATAAAATACTAAATAAGTTAAATATGAATATACATCGATTTAAAAATACTAATTTTCAGTGTTGTCAATGTTAAATCAATGATTTTTTAAATTTTCCTTTTAAACATTGATAGAGGGTTTGCTTTTTAAGGCATCTGGTAGAGCGTTCCAGATCTTGGCTCCTGTATAAGCAAAACTATTCTATAAATGTACAAATCGGTTTGAGTTTTTGGTAATTGCAGGTCATATCTTGAAGACCTAAGGTTGTATGCACTCAAACCTATTTGCTTCTCAAAAATTTCTAATAAGTAGTAAGGAGCTTGGCCATCGAACAATTTTCTACATTATAATGGCTTTCTGTTCTTGCCTCATTTCAATCAATGGCTTCCATTTTAATTGAACTAAAAGGTCTCTCACGATCTTATAGACTGTGCATGGAGAGCCAGTGATGATACAAGCCACTTGATTTTGTAGGGATTGTAATTTCCTCGTAATGGTATCATTAATGTTATCCCAAGCAAGACAGCAGTTATTGAAATAGGGTTCAATGATCTATATATTGAAATTCTATTCTCTAGCTGGCCAGTATATGAGAAATTCTTTTGAGTATACCAATATTACATACCACCGTTTTGATTATGCTATCTACATGGGTGGACACCTAAGCATTTAGTTTCATTGACCCTTTTCAATGAGATACCATTAACGGACAAATTAATGTCATCTGTTAGTGTGGCGATCCTTTGTCTGGATCCAATGATCATGTATTCTTATTTGAGAGTGTTCAGACTTAGTTTATTCACTGTTAACCAGCGAGTTACTTGTTCAAGGACAATGTGTTTTCTCATGTGCAACCGAGCGCAAATCTTAAACAAAAAAATGATACTCTCTGGAATGACACATGGTCTGAAATGGGAAAACATTACGTCAGAGCCAAGGAGGTCTATTCTGTTCTGTTGTTCTGTCCACTCCACTCCACTCCACTCCACTCCACTCCACTCCACTCCACTCCACTCCACTCCACCCCACCCCACCCCACCTGACATGCTGCCCTG